TCGCCTTTGTGGAGAAGGGTCAGGAGTCGTTCCCCACGTAGATAAATTATATACTACCATTTTGGAGCGACGAAGGGGAAAAAAAAAAAAAAAAAGGCTGCCCTCGCTTAGCGATTAAGTGTAACAACCATATATGTACAACACCGCAAACGTGCGGACGCTGTTTTTTTGTGTAGCTTACCAGCCGCTCACACGTACGTGCACGTACACGGCCCTGCACCCCTGCAGCCCCAAAAGCAGCAAGAAGGAGAGCAGAACATGGTAAACATAAACTGGCCAGGGCTCCTCAAATGGTCGACTAAATATGCAGGTAGGTGCCGGGGTCCACCTCGGCCTGTGCACTGCACGCGTGGATCTCTGCTTTGGGGGCGACATTCCTACACCGCCTCGGCACTGCTACCACCATCGCTCCTCCACTTCATCGCTTCCCCCCCTCAGACGGCACCGTCGACACGAACAAGCGGCTAAGCAAGGAAGACATCGAGTTCCTGCAGGGGGCCATCAAGGACGCTCTGAGTCAAGTGGAGGATCCATACGAAGCGATAAACGAAGCAGTTCGCAATTTTGAAAATGCCGATGAAGGGATTATCCTGGCCTCTGCCAAAATCGTGGAGAGACTAGTCGATGAGTACCCGGAGATCTCTCGCAATCTTCACAAGATAAACGCAATAGATCCTTTATTAAAATTGCTAAACCAAACAAACAATCACATCCTAGAGTCCGTATTGCAGATATTTTCGCTAGCTCTGTCAAACAATCCAGAGTTACAAGAGTGTGTATTCAAAAAAAACGGCCTAAAGACATTGTTGCTGAAGCTGCAAGACTCGCAAAAGACGGTGATCGATAAGAAGTTAATAACAGCAATCTCTGCCCTGATTCGACACCATGATGAGGCGGAAAATAAATTCATTGACTATGGCGGGGTCGGCTTCTTAGTGTACGGGATGCAGACAAATATTCATCAGTACCAGGAGAAGTCGGCTCTCCTGCTGAAGCATCTAATACATCAAAACAAAATTACATTTGAGATTTTTTTAAAAAACGAAATAATGAAGGGACTAATATGTCTTGCCAACAACAAGAATATCGACGAGACAGGGATACAGTATGGGGAGACCACCGCCGAACTGTTTTTGGCCCTGATGCAGAATCACCGGCATAAGTTGGCCAAGTCGGGTTACCTCCACAATTTGAAGGTCTTGATAGAGGACCGCTTGGCCTACCTGCGCGTTGTGCAGGAAAGCGCGTCGTACGACGTCTCCCAGGAGATCGAGTTATTCACGGATTGTTTGAAACTGACCAGGTAGTGCAAGGGGGGACAACTGCTCAGGGGAAAGCATTCGATGTAAAAGAATTCGGTGTGCCCCCCATACACACAGGGGAGTGCGTGTGTGTGTATGTTGGCGTGTTTGCGTGTGCACGGATGTACCCGCTCCCCTTCCCGCCGCTGATCCACTTGTGCACCTTCTCTTTTTTTCCCTTTGCAGCTGGCCAGGGGCGAAGCAGCCAGAGCAGAAGAGCAGCGGTCATTTTAGCTTATCCAACTGGTAGGAATGGTGCCTGCCAAACAGTAGGTACAATCGGTTAACCCTCCGGATAGGTTGCCCAGATTGACCTTCTATATCCCTCTTTCCCTGTCGAGCTTGCAACACGATTCGGCGACGGTCCTTACGAAGAATTCCAAAATAATCAATTTTTAAATTTTAAGTAAAATTAGCCAGAAAAAGGGGTCTCCCAACCCCCCCCTTTTGGGGGAGGAAAGGAGGATAACTTATGGATGAACCAGCCAGTTTGGCTTATCGCAACCCCATGCTGACCCATTTCCAATGACCTTTTGCACCCCTTTTGATGCGCCTCTAACTCCCCTTTGATTCATTTCGAATCCCCTTTTGTTTTTAATTAACACATACGTAAGCACAACGAAACAGAAAAAAAATGGCGCCGCAGTGGAGCAAAAAGGAAAGCGGCACTGCGAATGATACCGCGGTGAAGCAAACAAAATGGCACCGCTGCGAATGGCGTCCCTACGAATGACACCGCTGAGCATACGTTGCCGAGGCACCCTCGCTTCCTCCGATCACCAGCCCACGTAGCGATCGCCGGGCTGGCGTGTGTATCGCTCGGCCACGCGGAGGCGAATGGCACGCCGGTTGAAGTAGAGAGGGTAGCTCAGCGTCATGCGGCCTAGGTAACATTTGCGAAAATCCGTGACGAGGCGCATGGAGGCCTGGTTCAAATCGTTGTGGAAGCGATCCCGCGCCAGGCGCTGAATGAAGTGGTACGCAGAGAATTTCCCCTCAAAGTCAATGCAGTCGGTGAAACTAATTTGATAGCGCTTCAAAATTCTAGCCATGTCAACATAATCATTGTCGTAAAGATAAGCACGGTGGATGTTTTGTAACAGTGTCTCCGCGACGTTGTATATGTCGTACATTTTGGGAGTTATGTGATTGCACAGAGCAAGCAGGTAAATGTTGTTTTCCACGTGCATATAAGTGTTATAGTTTCGAATGTGAGCGACGTTAGCCTCCCCAGGGGTGTCGTCACTAGGATGGCGATTATAAATTCTATCCAGGATGGCATTCTTGCTGGTGAGCACTCTCTCCCTGAGTGTATACAAATTGGGGGCTATAATTCCAGGCGTGTCAATGAGTTCGTATTTTTTGCACGAATACATCTGTATGTTGGTGGTGAGACCTGGGGAGTCATACGATTTGGTCTTTTTCACCTCGAGCAGACGATTAATAAGAGCCGATTTTCCAACGTTGGGTAACCCGATAAAAATGCACTTCACTCTGTAGTTATGGAGACCTCTTTTTTTTTTCCGCTCAATCAGGTGGTGACATAATCTGTTAATTAATTTCTTCAAAACGATGATTTCTTTCCTCCCATTTTTCGCATCCACAAATATGACTGCACTTTTTTTTAGCTGATTCTGCATGCCCTCCTTATTTTCCACTTTCCTATTGAAGTGTTTGTCGTACCAGAAGAGCTTCCTCCTGTAGTAGCTCCCCCATTCTTCATTCCCTTTAATGGAAGAGCGATCACAATTTGTGTAGACAATTATCCTAGGCTTGTTTGTCCTAAAGTTAAACATGTCCAGTGCGTACAAGTCGTCGAAAACGAATGGGATGATTCCATTCCTAACCTCCACTATGACGTCACTAACTTTGATGTAATCGGACAGTTTCGGAATGATCCTTTTCATGAATTTGGGGAACCAGTGGACCTTCACTCTCCCGTAGAGGAGATCTTCATGTAGGTTGTTTTTTATTATGTTTTCCTTCTTATATGAGAGGAACGCGTTAACGTTGTGTTTGAAGAGGTCTATAGCGGATACGTTGCTTCTTGAGAATAGCTTCTGTTCGCTTTGGTCTTCCTCCGTTAGGCTCCCCGACATGGGGTTGTTCTCTTCATTTATTGGCTTCTTCTGGCTCTTCTCCTCCTCCTCTAATGCGTAGGATGACCCAACTGGTGCGTCCTTTTTCGTGCCCAACAGCAACTTGGCGTTGGCAAAGATATGGTCACTAAAGGTGGAGCAATTCCTCGCCTCGGCACAGCTCCCTCGGGCGAAGCCGGTCTGCGGCCTGAAGAACTGCACCGATTCGAGGGGGGCACTCTCCTCCGAGGTATTCCCCTGGGAGGTGTTCCCCTGGATGATATTCCACTCGGTGGTATTCCTTTCGGAGGTCTTCCCCTCGGAGATATTCCACTCGGTGGTGTTCCCGTCGACGTTCCTCTCCTCCGTGATATTCCCCACTTTGGAGTCCCCCTCTGTGGTGCCACCCGTGGCCACCCCCCGCAGGCTCCTCAAAATAGCGGACTGCTCCTTCAGCCGGTTTATCATATAGCTGTACCGAGTGAACAGAAAGTTGTTTATATTCTCCTTCATAAGGAACGTTATCTTGAGATTTTCGTGGACCTGCCCGCTCACCTCCTCGTCTTCCTTCTCCTCCATCAGCAATTTCTCGTATTCGCTTTTGTAACTGCGTTCAAGTACCTTCCTAATTTCGTCCCTATAAGTGGTGGCATTCTCCCTCATAATTTTAAGCTTCTCTGCTTCTAACTTAGTGTAGTCTTCCTCTGCCCGTTTGTTAAAATATTCATCAAAGGTTGGCGCGTCCTGTTCTTCCGGACCTGTCTCCTTTTTGTTTTTCACTCGATTTTGGTGCCGGTGACCACGGTGACAATTACTTGTGCTGCTTAAAAAAAGGATCTTCATCATACCTCGTTTGTGGGCGTCCTGAATGCTTGTGGCTGCGATGGGCAGTACTACATAGGACTGCGTTACGTGAATCCCCAGTGCGCCCTGCGTCATACATGCCAGCAGGAGCAGAAACGTGAGGGCCATTTTCCCCTCGCGCCCTGCTGCGTCGCAGCGGTGTGAAACTGCATATTAGGCGTGCATGGTGGGGAGCTCCAGTTCGGGCAAGTCCTCTACCCACCCCCCAGTTCTCCCACTTAGAGGCAGACGAGTTAAACAAAAAAAAAAAAAAATTCCTCCTACTCACTCGCGCCACATGAGGTACCCTTCCGATGTGAGTAGCTACCCTGTCATCACCGCGTTGTTACCGGGGGGGATGCATACCTAGGCATGCGCGTTAAACGCAGCCTGCACATGCTTCTCCTGCGTGTGCTGCACAAATGGACCTCTTTTCCGTGTGGCGACAGGTGAGCATTAGGCGATTAAGAGAGATGGCCTCGAATGGAAAAGAGGGTTCCTTTCCTCCGACAGTGGTCTCGGCATTCTTCATTCAGGCTACCGTTGGAGCGGTACCATATAGGAGACTGATCAAACGGGACGAGCAAGCTTCACCTAGTTAAGCTACATTTTTGCGCCACGTTTGGGCCACGTTTGGGGAGTGAAGAATTTTCTTGACGAGTCGCCCTCACGAGTGTTTCCCCCTCTGCGGGTCAATACTCGGAAGGCTTACACTTTAAAGATGATATTTGTCCCAGCCCAGCAGCGCATTATTCCATCTTTGCCTAATTTTATTTCCGTTCACGATTCGGTTGATTGCTCCGCGTCGACATCTGCCAACTGGCTACACATGCATCCATATTATGCATGCACATGATTGTGTTTTTATTTTTATTTTTTTTTTTTTTTCCTGTTGCAGAGCCACCTGGGGGAGGAGTCAATCATGCAACTCATTAGGAAGGGTGCGCCTCGTTCTAGATCATTTGGAGTAGGGTGTGAATAGGAGCGAGGTACACTCCCGCGCGAAGAACATGAGAGGAGTAGTGAGCCGTTTGCCCTACCTCCATTTGACAGAGCACTCCCTTGGCCATCAAAAATGGTGTTCACTCAGTGAAGGGGGGTGGGGTGTATTCTGTAATTTTTTTTTTTTCTTTTTTTTCACGACGATGGTATTTCAAAACTGGGTGGAAGATGACACATAGAGATGAGGAACCCCAGCATACACTTACTTTTACATGCAGCACTTCATTATAAACACACAAATGGGCAACCGAATTGGACTGGAGAGAAGGAAAATGAAGGGGCACCGCAATTTCCAGGTTTTTCAGTTCGTTTAATTTGCCCCCTTCTTATCCTTGTTACAGCGTTTTTTTTCTTTTTTCTTTTTCTTTTTTTTTTTTCTTGGCCATTTGCACGTGTGAATTGGTCCATCTGGGGAACACTGCTTACAGCCAGTTGGGCGATTTTTCCGTTCGGCCCCCTCTGCGTAGTTTTATCAAACTCGTTTGGGACAAAAGGAAAGAAAGCGTCTTCTGTCCAGCAGTTTGTTCACCTCCAGTCAGAGGAGTGCAATCCATCTGTGTGTGTGTTACTGTTTCGCTTCAAACGGATTGTCGCGGCGTTAGCACCCTGATACGAATGCATTTTTTTTTCTTTTTTTGCAAATAAAGACACTATATGCAATGTGATATCCCTTTGTTATTATCTTTATACCGTTTGTTCCCCTGGCCCGTTGGTCCCTTACCGCCACGATTGTTTTTACGCGTCACTACGTGTTTCATTTTGTATATTCCATTTTGTATGTTCCATTTTGTATGTTCCATTTTGTATGTTCCATTTTGTATGTTCCATTTTGTGTGTTACAATTCGTGTATTTCATTTTGTGTATTTCATTTTGTGTGTTTTATTTTCGCCGTCATTTCCCCCATTTGCACGTCGCCCCTTTTTTGCGCAAGAAGAAAAAAAAAAAAGAATTTCCTGCCCGCTTCGCGCCAGGGGGGAACAAAACATACGCGCGCAAAATTTGGCAAAGTGAACTTTTTTTTTTCCGAAAATATACTCTTCGGGAATGCACACAAATGAACATGCGTATACAGACCAAAGCGCAGTGGTAAGGGCGCGTGGAAATTTTCACACAGAAGATTAATTTTCATCGCGCGTTACAGAGAACGAAGCGGAAACGCGAGTAGGAGAAAGGCGTACTGATCAAACCTGTCGGCATTTCAGAGGCCTCTCCCTTTTTTGTAACCCATTCGTAATTTTTTTCCTTTTCTGTGGCAGCTCCATCGTAGACCTACTCCGCCTTTGCACAGATCTGTTCACTGCGCTTCGCCCATGTGAAAAGAGGAAAGGCCGGTTAAGCGGTGGATCGCAGCGACTGATCGTAGCGACGGATCATAGCGGCTGAGGGACTCGATTGAACCACACAGCTGAACGGCACATCCAACCATTCGGGCCAACTGGGCAGCCCAAGCTTGCGAAGACTCAGCCAGCTCGCCAAGCCTTTCAACCGCCCTGATCAATTCCCCAAATGGAAAACAAAAATTTTTCCCAAAACATATTCTATAAAGGGTTTAACGAAAGAAGAGTGAATTACCTGAACGTTAATGCAAACACAGAGTTCGAAAACGCACACAGTTTGAATGTCTCCTCAGGAGTGACTCCGATTAAAAACGCCAACGAAGAAAGCAGCATGTTAAAAATGAATGCTCAAAAAGTGAGTGGCGCGAGACAGGCGGGGAACACGAAGGTTAATCAAACCGAATTCGTCGATAAAATTCAAAGCCACGTAAACCTTAACAATATACACTCCAACGCGCCTTATGCAAACGGGGGGCTCTTATATGTGGACAACAAAATGAGCGGAGCGAACGTGAACAACCACGTATATAGCAGCTTGGGAAACGCCCCTTCAGGTCTGGCAGCCGCCGACGGGAGTGCACACAAAAATATTTTCACTCAAGGGATTTACCCCGACGTGAAAAGCTTCGATAGAGTGGACTCCAATCGGCTAGACGCAAACCGGCTGAACATGAACACGTTTAGCAACAGCAGGAACGTACCCATGAAAAGCGGTGAGTACATTTTTTCCGGAGCACAAGAGCACTTGGGGTATATGGACGCCAAGGAGGGGGGCAAGGGGGGTCCCCCGGGTGGGGGAGGCCGCGTGGGGAGTAATCCCATTGCGAGGGGGCACGCTGGAGGGACACACACAGGAGGCACGCACATAGCAAGTGGCAACCTTTTCGGGGGGCACGTTTTAGGGATGCGCGGGAAGGAGAACCAACTGGGTGCGTACCGAATGAACCCGGTCAATGGTGGGCCGATGCCAGCGTCAGGGAAGAGTGCAGCGGCGTATGAAGGCGACCACGCCCAGGCCAGTCGCATGGACAGCATGATGAAAGACGGCCTCTTTGGCAGCATGTATCGCACGATTCAGGGCGGCACCAGCGCAAGCATGAATGTTAACGCAAACGCTAACATGAATCCTAGCACAAATACCAACGTGAATGCTAGCACCAATGCGCAAAGCAGCTTATCGAACTTCCTTAATGGCGCAATGATCAGGAACAAACCCCCCCCCAGTGACACAGCCATGAATGAAGTACCCTTCCAGACACCGGAAAATCTGAACAGCACCAAAAACCCCAATTTGAAAGTATTTAACAATCAGAGAAATAAATTGAAAGACGTGGATGCGTCCAACATGTCGACAAACCTCAGTCATTTGAGTCAGTTCAGTCAGCTGAGACAGAACATCCCCTTCAGTAATTTTTCCAACACGGTGAGTACCCATCACCATAGGGTAAATAACAATCAAAGCTTCAACCACATAAGTAACTTGGGCAGCGCAATGAATAAGCTGGACAGTTTTAACCTACCACCTACACAGGGGTCAAACAGTATGCATAAGGGGGCCCTATTGAACAGCACTCTGCTAAGTGGGGCACTTAATAGCAACGGCATGAGCATTCCAGGAATGAACCTCTCCAACGGGGGAAACCTTCATAGCTATGGAAAACACAGCATTACTAACCCGTTAAGTGGGAATGCCCTCGGAATGGACGGGGGAGGAACTCACTTCACCGCGATGGTCCACGACGTTGGGGTGTCGCACGCAGGAAACCAGGGCAACCTGGAAAGTCATGCAAATGTGGGAAGCCTCGAAAGCCATGGAAATATGGGCAGCATGGCAAACACCAACCTGGCGGGCATCCCAATGGCCAACGCGTCGAGCAGTGGAAACCTTATGGGTGTGGGGAAGGCCCCCAAAGGAATCGCCGAGGGGCACATAAAGGACAGGGGGAACCTAATCAATTACGGATACCTGCACAGCAAGGGGAAGGTCGGTGACCTGATTGGTATGGGAGTGGATAGCACAAAGGGGGGGATGGTTAACGAGGCGAATTCCAATTATATTGGCATGAGTTTATTTGGTGCAGGAATCCCCCGTGCGAGCGGACTGCATTATGTAAGCGCTATAACTGGGCAGAATGTCTACCCGGGGGAGCCACTCAATTTGAAAAGCAATTCAGAGAAGGCAGAAATACAGAGAGGAGAAGCGACCGTGTTGAAGGGAGGAGTGATGGACGGGAGTAGCGCAATCACCCGCACCACTAATCAGTCCAGCGCGAGCCAAAGCGGCCCAAACAACAACGTCATCAGCACGGACAACTACGCCAACCTTCTGAAGCACCTGTGCACTCCCATCAAGAATAGACTCGCCAGCAACACCACAGATCGGTTGAACAGAGTCAACATTGGTGAGTACGCCACTCAGGAGGGAAAGTTTCCCGGGGGAAGTGCCAAAGAGAGTAACATTTTGGGGGTGCATGAGAGCGCACCGGCCGATATGTTCGTGGGTAGCGGGCCCTTCAAGGGGAATGCAGACGAGGGGAACGCGCAGGAAAATGTCAATATTGGCGGCCTCTCAGGGACAGTCGATTTTAGTGGAGACGGCGACGTTGTGCGTAAGGAGCCGCCAGACAGCATCACCAGTAGCGATAACGCTGCCGCTAATATCGGCGGGGGCGCGCCCAGCTGGGGCCACGTGTACGACCTGAAGAAGATGAATCGGTTCGCCGAGAAGAAGCGGAGAGACGAGGAGACAATCGAGGCGGGAGGCACTAACAGGGGCGATAACGGCCCCGATGTCGAGGACCACACCCAAGGTCACAAGCAGGACCGCCACCACTGCCGAGACGACGGGAAGAAGAAGCCGATAAGGACCAACAAGACCAAGACGAAGGCGTTCTTCTACATCAATCCCAAGTACATCATCGAGCCGTTGAAGAGAAAGATATATCAAAACATGTCCATCTATATCGAAAATTTAATAAGTGACGTTCAAGCCAGTGAGAATAAGAACCGAGGGGAAATATTGGCTGAGCTCCATAACACTCCCTGGTTCTGCATGGTATTTGATTTCGATGGGATTAGCAAACTACTGAATGTGTTTAATAAGTATTTGATTTACTCCGACTCGCTAATCATCCCTGATGTGCTGATCGGGAAAAAGTTGGAAGCGGAAAGCACTTGCAGTGTACTCCCCGCCCAAGGGAAGAAAGAAAACCAATCGAATACAGAAAAGCAATCCAGTGGAGAAAGCCATCCGAATGGGGAAAGCCAACCCAATGAAGAAGAACAACAGAATGGAGAAGGCCAACCCAATGAAGAAAAACAACAGAATGGAGAAGGCCAACCCAATGGAGAAACACAACCGAGTGGAGAAAGCCAACCCAAGAGAGACCCCAATTATGATCACACACAGCAGGGACAGGGGCAAGAACCGTTTCATCACTACTTCAAAAAAAGTGACAATCTAGATTTTATTAATAAAAAAATAAATGAATATGAACACAGCATAATCGAGAGTGCAGAAAAGCTGTCCTATCTGAAAGAGCTATGTACATCCATAAAAGGACAAGTGGATACAAAAAAAAAAAAACTTCTTCTCCTCATCGAGACTGCCAAGCTGAAACTCTTTGCATACAAAAGCAAAGAACTTCAAACCATCATCGACATTGAAAAGAATTCTGGATTGGTCACCGAGGAACATGAACAGATTAACCTAACGAACGAATACTATGACATGTTCAAAAAAATCAATGATGGATTAAACTTTTTAAGAAAATACTCCAATGTGATAATCTCAACGCAGACTATGCACGATGAAATTACCAACGATGAGGAGAATAAACACATGTGCCAATCTTCTGTCTCCACGGATGATTTAAGCTGCGAAAATAATTTGAATGGCGTTGACCAGGAGGAGGAGGAAGAAGAAGGGGAAGAGGACGACAATGACTACGAGGAGGAAGAGGATGGTGCCCATGGGGGTGCCCATCAACACGGGGGCGAAGCAAACTACCAACGGAATGATCACACCGATGGGTACGCACATGATCACCTCAGCAACATGCACATGTCCCCGGGGAAACGGAAGAAAAGAAGAAAAAAAAGAAACGCCCACGAGGACCTCCTGCAGAGGAAGAATCCACCCCACGACGAGTTCGACGATAAAGCCGACAAGGAGGTGAGCAAGAAGCGGAAGACTGTCAACGAGATTAAAAACCTGCAGTGGGAAAAGGAGGACAACGAGGAGTGGGTCGACGAGTTTTTGGAGGACTTCTGACTGGGGGCGGTCCGCACGCGCCATCACCATGCACGTGTAGATATGCATATATGTATATATGTGCCCATGTTTGTGTATTTTTTTTTTTTTCTTCTTCTTTTCCCCCTTGGACGACTAAGCTCTGCCCAAGGAGGGAACCCACAGCAGCCCCGATCCCCTGCAGAAGCGTCTCCAGCACGCACCCCGTGTCAGAGGTTGCGCACATATTTGTAAATGCTTCTGCCATCCTATTAAGGAAAGTACATTTGCCGAAGCGACGCAGGTGTAGTGTCTCTACATTGCCATCTCCTACCACACCCTTCTCCTTTTCTGCGCTTCATAGCGAGGGTAGAGCGGTTGGCCTAGCGTTTATGCGGCAGCCCATTCGTGGCACATTCCAAAAAGGAACAACTTTTCTTATTTTTTTTTTTTGTACCATTAATATGTGTTCTTAAGCGGCGCTCATTTGCGTGCCCCCGGGGGGTAATGACAGAAAGGAAGGAAAAAAAATACATACATAGGTACGTGCAAGCTTACATAGTTGAAGCTTCCCTGCGGCGCTACAGCTTGAAGAGCATCCCCCGGGAGTTCTTGCCCATGCTGTTGCTGTACTGCGCCTTGATGTTGTTGAATTCTTCTATGCAGGACATGGAGAGGAGGACAGGGTAAGTGTTAATCTTGTTGATGTGGTCCTTCCAGTCCTCGTTGTCGTTCCACTTGAGGCCGTAATGGCCGTGCAGCAACAAGCTGTACTTGGAGCCTTTCACGATGGAAGAGAGGGTCACATTTGTGTTTTGGAAGGTGCTCTTGGACATATCCAGGGTGATGGTCGCGGTGTGTTCGTCCGGCTCGTTGGTTAGCCCTTCGCGAGGGGCGGCCTCATCATTTGAGGTGCCCTGTTCGGCGCGGTTTTCCTTGTTACCCTGGTTGTCCTGGTTACCGCTCCCTTGTGAAGACACTTCTACCGGGGCAATCTCTTCGAGAGGGGCCGCTTCCCACCCCTGCCGCTTCACCCGCTTGGAGAGCCTCTCCTCGTCTGGCTGCAACCCAAGGGAGCGCTTGTCCTTAGCCCCGTTGCTCTTTATAAAGATGAATTTCCCATCGTGGGTGGAAAATAAAGAGGTCAAAATGAAGAAGATGTCCTGGTCATTCTGCTCGATTTGAATGTCCCATCCCAAAATGTAGAGGAAAGCCTCCCTATAGCTCTTAATCTGGTTTTCATAAAAAATTTTTACCACCTCTATTTTCGATTTTAAGTACAAGTTTTCATTCCTTAGGGTTACCAATTCGATCTCGTCCACAGAGGAGAGGCCGTCCAGGTGGCTGTACAGCGCGTTGAGGGTGTTATGTGCATCATTTTCCTCTTCTTCCTTATGCTGCTTCTTCACCTCTTGGGGAGTTCCTCCCTGGTTGGAAGAGCTCCCCGCAGAGCCACTGATTTTGCTGTCAAATTGGGCTTTCCTAACGGCCTCCCTTAAATCATTCACCACTTTTTCGTACTTTTCTTTATCGTCATTCCACTCATTCGTCACATTCATCAGGTCTCCTTCCAACGTGACAATCCTGTTTTTATAATTTTGTATCTCTTCCTTGAGAATTAGAATTTCCTTCTGGTACAGTTGCAACTCTTCCGAGGCGGTCTCTGCGCTTTTCTGCATCAAACACGCCTGCTCAAATTCGCTTTGATACTTCCTCACTCGTTCGCCCAGCTCCTCTATGAGTTTCTCCTTCTGCTCGTTGTCCGATCGTAGGAAGTCGTACTTGGCTTTGTACTCCGTGAGGGATTTTTCCAAAATGGAGTTCTCCAAAATGGAATTTTCCTTCTGAGGATCCTTCTTGGGGTCACCCTCAGTTGTACTTTCTTCCTTGCACGACGCAGTAGACTGTTTCGCCCTCCTGGCAGCCTCCCTCATGTAGTCCTGTTTGGCAAACTCGTACAACTTCTCCAACTGCCTATTCTTATTCGTAACAATTTTAACTTCTAATTTTCTATCTTCCAGAGTTTGCCTCACCATTTCCATATCAGCAGCTAACGTTCTGTACCGGAGTTCTAAATCCGTTTTGGTGGAATTCACGTGCGTGTACTTTTCATGAATCTGTTGCATGGATCTCTTTAGGCTTTCTACATCGATGGCATTTTTGTCGATATACAATTTGGCGAAGTTGCTCCATTCGCTAAGTTGTTCATTGAGTTTCTCCTTTTCCACCTGCTCATTTATGAGGCTTTTTCTCAGCTCGGAGATATTCTCCATTTTTTCTTTATCTCGATCCTTGAATATTTCTAACTCTTTAATTTTTCTTTCCAAAATTTCTACTTTATTTTCTAAAAGGGGAAGCTGCTTACATTTTTGTTTGTACTGGGAGCAAAGCATGATCATGCTTCTATACTGTTGTCTTTCTTTGGAGGTAATTTCCTCCGTTTTTTTTACCCCCTCAAGATGCTCTTTCAATTTTTTAATCTGCATTTTGTATTCTACCGCCTGATTGATGCTATTTTCTGCCATGTCTGTCATTCCTTTGTGTTCCTTTAGGTATGATTTAAATTGGTCCATCTTGTTTCTTAGCTTCTCCATGGTTGTTTCTTTTTCTTGGATGGTTTTTCTCAACTTTTCGCTTTCACTCTGGGATACAGACAAGTCGTTCTGACACCCCTTCAGTTTCTCTTCCATCTCGTCGTACCTTTTTTTGCTTTCACTTTTAATTTGAGTCATTTTTTCCTCCAGCATGAGAGTGAAGTTCTTCAACTTTTTGTAGCTCTTTTCTACGGCCAGCCGTTTGGCATACTCGTTCTTTAGCTGCTCTGCTGCAGCGGTAGTGTTGCCGCTGCTACTGCTGCTGACTGCTTCTGCGCCCCGGAGAACGCTCCCCCTCTTGAGTGCGTCATTCTCCTCCTTCAACTTTTTACACTCACTCTTGAAGATGGCAGCAAGCTTCCTTAGCTTGAAAATTTCTTCGTCCTTGGTCCTCGCCTCGTCCTTTTCGCCTACCCCGCTCATCGTGCTGAACAGGCAGTGTTCGAGTAATCACCAGGCGGAGAGAGGGGGCATCAAAGTGGTAGCAAACTGTCATCAATGTGGAATCGTGGCAACAGCGTAGCAACGAGATAGCCTTGTGCTAGCCATAGACATGCACACCACACGGTCGTGAGCCCCGATGGGTGAAAACTAAGTTTCCAAAAAGGGGGAGCTGGCCAAGGGCCCTCGTGGCGAGCATAACTCTCGCTTCCTCGAAGAGCACCCCCGAGCCCACTCTTCCAGGCTCAGATGGTAGAAGATGTGACGTGTTCTTTCATCATTTTTAAGATGAAAAAAAAAATGGGACACTGCCAGAAGGGAGAAGTAAAGCAAACATGAAAAAGGAGCAACTACTTCCGTATATAAATGTGCAAACAGGTCAGACACAAATCTGCGTGCAGTGTGTCGGTAGGACACGTTGGAAAAATGAAGTC